TTAGGATTAATAGCTTCGAAAATTTCCAATCACATTATAATAGAAATTTATCACAAAATCAGATAGACTTCCCATTCCTCTCAGTGTACTTTAAACACGAAAGAAAATTACCAAGGATTCAATAATACCGCTGCCATATCCTTGTGCGGCTGACGCGGTGTCAAGTATGGTGCGGAAATTAGCAATTGTTTCGGTAACGTTCTTGGTTTGTGGCGACACGTAATTTCTGGTGAAATTAGTTTCCCACTCTTTACGTTCAGCGGGAGTTTTTAATGCAGATGCTGGTGGTGGATTTTGAGTCATCAGTGAAAGTATTGAGTGTAATAATAATGCCAAATTTTCATCATTGCAGTTTAGAATTTCTTTTAAGACATTCCAATCATTTTGTATATGATCCATGCAATATTGTTCCGCATTGTCAGCGACTTGATTATTCTTTTGAAGGAAGTTATTTGTCACCGCTGGTGATGAACCACTAATGAGAACGTGGACAAATAGGTGTAGAATCCTATATGAAATAGGTGCCATGAATCGAACACTATGCATCATTGTTTGATTTGTTAACTCTCCAATATATCCGGCTTGATCGTTACTGTCGATGGGTCCTCTAATTGGTTTAGCATCCAGTCGACGATTACCAGCAGCTGTTATAAAATTTCCACCTCCGATAGTTCTTGTTTTGCAATCAGGACATCTCGTCGCCTCTATGGCTTGGCCGCAATGAGCAATTAAATATTTATAACCACATTCACAAGAATATCTGTTCAAATTTTTGTAGTAAAAATCGAGTTTTTGGTCGTTTCCGTTGATAACATCAAGATAATAGAACCAATTGGAACTTACCGAGTAACTTGACCTCCTGACGCTACAACTGCACTCAATAAAACAGCTTCAATATCTGATATACAGGCTGGTATAAATATGCTTTGGCATTCATCCAATTTATGGAAAAGTGTAGCGAGAGGTGAGGCCTCCGGTGGCATGGAAGCGTGTAATGCTATCACATGAGCTATTACCGATTTCATCAATAAACTACTATTATCCACTTTACTATTTAGTTGAAGGAGGGGATGTCGATTTATCAATATTTTGCTGATCGTTTGTTTATAAACATCTGATAAATCATTGATTTTTAAAACATTCTTTTCGTTCGAATGTCGATTTATAAATATTTTGTTAATCGTTTGTTTATAACCATCTAATAAACCATTGATTTTTAAAACATTCTTTAAGAATTCTGCCGCCCGGTTTTCGTTCGGACCCCACTCGCGTGAAGCCCGGAGTATGTGAAGACGGGTTATAATAAGTCCCACAAAAGCGATTCTCGCTCCGAGGTTTTGCGGCAATTGTTGTAAGAATAGTTGAAAAGGTTCTTTGTCGTTGACACTATAGAGTTTTTTGAATGAATATTCCGCACGTGCGTATTCCGGAAGGTGCCAATATGGGTTAAATGGAAGTCTATTCTCATCGTCATCCCATTGTAATGAAAGAAGCCATGGTAAAGTAT